ACCAAAAAAGAAACAAAAGGCTGGACAGGGTCCCTGGTTCGTATGCAGAGCGGCAGAAGGGTACGAAAAAGCAAGGATCTGGAGACACTGATGCGGAGCACGTCAATCTGATTATTGATCTTGGCACACCTGGTTCTGTCTGGCTGTCTGAGTAATGCGCGGGTGCAAGACAAGAAAAAGACGAAGAAGCATCCAATCCTCCGCCAACACGGTAGGTAGGTACATGTATGATGGTCTGGCTATCGTGGTCTCCATCAGGCCATTGTCAAGGGTTCATGTCAGCTTTGCAAATTGAATGATGGCATCTCGTCATTCTGGCTGGCTCGCTGGCCGGTTGACCCGGCTGGTTCGCTGGCTGGTTCACTCTGAAGGCCATTTAGGCGGTAAGCAAGCAGGGTGTATTTTCATGCCGGCCACGTAATGCACCCCTGGGTCCATGGCCTGTTGTCTTCTTTTCTGTTGTACACGCCCCCTTCCTTTCCCACTACTTGCCTTGTCAGGAGCACCTTTTCCTTTTGGAGCAGAGATGAGCTGAGCAGGTTGGGACCAAAACGTTTGGTGGCGCCACCGGAATGACAAATGGCGAGAAAAAAAAAAGCTTGAGGACAAAGATTTACGCAGAGTGCTTCGACTAAGCCAGAAATCGGAAAAGAGGCTCCCGTGGCCTCGGATCAGATTACACCTGCCGGGAATTGGGGTCTGCAGACTGGTGTGGAGGGGGGGGGGTGGACAGTACAGGCGCTTGGTTCAGTTTGGTCTGGTCTAGCGAGCATCGGCGAGAGAGAGAGAGACACTCACCGGTAGAGGTACACGAAGAGGTTCGAGAGCCTCCTGCTTGTGCACGCCATAGCGCCGGTGAGAGCAGCGTCAGAGCAGCTTGCCCAATGCGGGTTAGGTGTATGCACTTGGCTCGGGCCAGATCGTCAGGGCCCTCGCCTGAAATAGGATTCTCATGGTCTCAGTGGTGTGGAAACGGCCCAAAGGGGAAATAGGCGATCGTGGGGGAGCCCTAGGGACCCGTTTTAGGGATCTGCTAAGGCCAAGCCGAGGCCTCACGCCCCAGCCCTCCTGATGAGGTAAGGTACAGGTTATGTAGGCGGTAGGCGGCGGCTGGCGGCGGTAGGTACCAGGCTCAGGCGGGCCAGCACCGCTCAGGCGGGCCAGCACCAGTCAGGCTGACTGGCGGTACCTAGGTACCAAGCAGGGTGCAGTGCAGTCTTGAGAAGAGGGCTGAGCTTGCGGGAAGCTCCTTGATTTGTTGAGGAAGGGGAGGCTAGGCCTGCGGAACCAGCGGACCCCAAGCGCCCAAAGCACGACCGAGAATCCACCCACCCAGGCACCCAGCAGGTGCCACCTACCGTACCTCCCTCAGGCAAGACAATGCACCTAGGGTAGGCAGACACCCAAAGCTCCAAGCGCAAGGCTTTCAGGGGACTTCACCCGCTGAAAGAATGGTGCGAGGTCCCCTAAGCAGCACCCCTCACCCCCCTCCCCCCCTCGCTCTGGCAGGCTCGACCCTTGGGCCTGGGCTTGAGCGAGCCACGCAAGCTGCACCTAAAATGTCGCCGACAAAGGGCCTCTCCCCTTTCCCACCAAACACAAACCCATATTGATCCACGACTCGCTCCTCTGGAGCACGTTTGCTCATTGCTCCACGAGAACCATCTATTCACCTGCCTGCCGTTGAGGGAACTATTGAAAGCTACCATCAGCCACTCGTTCTTTGGTTTGCAGAAGACGTGTTTTTTTGTGTTACGCAAAAATTCCCGCATCAGCCGGCGTCGTCAGCTTCATCGGCCGACTCTGTCAGCTTCCTGCCTCCGCTCATATTCGGTTGGGGATCACCATCATCCCTCAGATCATCAGCCCTCAGACCATCAGCCCTCAGATCATCAGCCCTCAGATCATCAGCCCTCAGACCATCAGCCCTCAGATCATCAGCCCTCAGATCATCAGCCCCTCAGCCATCTCAACATCGATCGATCTTGGGTTTGCCCTTTCTCAACTCAAAAACACCTGCCTTTGTCCTGTCGGCGATAGATCTCTCAGCTCGGCAGGTCCATCATCCCCGCAAGGCCCGGTCGATCCTCTCCAGAGTCTCCTCTCCTGCGTCTTGCTCGCATCTCACCCACCCACCTCATCCCACTCACATCCCTGTCCCCCCCCCGGCCTCCCAATATGCCGCCCTCTGCAGACGTTGCCTCTGCAGACGTTGCCTCTGCAGACGTTGCCTCTGCAGACGTTGCCTCTGCAGACTCGCTCCACGCCGAGCCCAAGGCCGCCACCGCCAAGCCGCGATGGCCGCTATGGAAGAAGCTCGCGCTCGTGGGCGTCGTCCTAGTCGTCGCCATCGCTCTCGCCGTCGGTCTTGGTGTAGGCCTGAGCAACCGAAACGGCGGCGGCGATGATGAGGAGAACAACAACGACAACGGCAACAATAATGGCGGCGGCGGCGGTGGTGGAGGCGGCACCGGCGGCGGCAACTCGACGAGCCGCGAGTCCCTCTGGCAGCCCGAGGCCGGCGCGTCGTGGCAGATTGTGCTCATCAAGCCCATCGAGGTGCCCGCGAGCGGCGACGTGACGCCCGACGTCGATGTCTTTGATATTGACCTCTTTGACAACTCGGACGAGACGTTTTCGCGCCTGCGCGAGGCAGGCAAGAAGGTCATTTGCTACTTCAGCGCCGGGTCGTGGGAGGACTGGCGCGACGACAAGGATGACTTTGGCGACGACAACCTCGGCAAGGAGCTCGACGGCTGGCCCGGCGAGAAGTGGGTGGACGTGGCGAGCGACGGCGTCCGCAACGTCATGAAGAAGCGCATCCAGCTCGCTGCCAACCGCGGCTGTGACGCCATTGACCCCGACAATGTTGACGGCTTTGTAAGCTTGCCGAACCAGGGGCGTCATGAACGAGCACGAGACTAATAACAGGCACAGCAAAACGACAACGGCCTCGGCCTGACCAAGGAGGACGCCGTTGACTTTGTCAAGTTCCTCTCCGAGACGGCCCTGCAGTACAACATGTCGACGGGCCTGAAGAACGCCGGCAGCATCATCCCCGACGTCCTCGAAGACGTCCACTTCTCGGTCAACGAGCAGTGCGTGCAGTTCTCCGAGTGCGAGACGTTTGCGCCCTTCATCAAGGACAACAAGCCCGTCTTCCACATTGAGTACCCCAAGGACGCGCCCAGCGTGTCGTCGACGGCCTCGAAGAGGGTGTGCACGCCCACGGGCGAGGCGGCCGGCACCGACGGCTTCAGCACCGTCATTAAGAAGATGAACCTCGACGGATGGGTCGAGTTTTGCGACGGCGAGAAGTTCAACACGACCTTGGACGTCTGAGAAGCCTGCCGCATCGTCCTGTCCCTTACTGTTGCCGACGCCTTCGACACAGCTGTGCAGCAGCATGTCCCGGATGAGGATGAGGCCAGCCAACCGAAGCCACAGGCGAGGCACCACGGCTGCCGGGCGACACATGATCACCAGTTTATTTTCAGTCATTTTCAGTCATTCATGCCAGGGGTCAGCATTGGGAGTCGGCTTTTGTCTTGGTTTTCCTTGCCGCGTTGTTTTTACATGATTTTTCCATGTCACCCCGGTTGTCCCCCTCGGTGCTGTCAATTTGGCGCCCTCACTCGCTATGCCGAACCATGCCTCTGAGCCGAGCCACGTTGGCCCCCAAGTTGAGCGAGCCACATTGGCTCCCAAGTTGGGCGAGCCACAGGTTCCCAAGTCGAGCGATCGACAGGTTTCCAAGTCGAGCGAGCCACAGGTTCTGCCGGCGTCGGGAATTGTCTCGTCCGGGACAAGCGACGGCGGGGGGGCATGGGGATGGCGCAAGACCAATCTATGTACATGTACGTTGTATGCACGCATGCAGTCGACCTAGAACCTAAAACATAATTATTCACAAGAGGATTCAATATCCGATGCACCTTTCTTTGTCGAAAAAAGCCACAATGATGGCATGACGGTCATGAAGGTCCGCCGATCAATGTATGCGCTGACAAGGGCGAGACAGCGAGACAGGCATGCCAGGCTGGAACCCCCTCCTCAAGGGTCACCGAGGGAGCATCTTGGCGGTCAGATCACCGACGCACCTTTCTTCCATTGATCTTCTGGTTGCAGGCGATCTCCCTCGCTGTGCGCTGTGCGACGCGGGGCGAAAAGCCCGGGTTGCTGACAGCGGTTCGCGACTCTGGGCCCAAGGCACCACACAGCACAGCACAGCACAGCACAGCACAGCACAGCACGCAACACGTTGAAGCGCAGCCATCCGCCAGCCGCCCCCTTCGCACCTCGTGTTTGTGTGCGGTCCCCCCATGTCGGCGCGGCAGACCAGCGGACAGAAAGAGGGGCGCCGCGCAGATCTGACTCGTGCCGCTGTTGGACTGGATGGACCCCTAGTCCGAGGAGCGATGAGTGCAAGTTCAAATACCGGGGCGCTGATGACCACCACTACCTCCTGATATACCCATGCTCGCTTATTCTCTTGGTCAACGGACTTGATAGTTTCTTGGTGACGAGAGAGACTGAGGAGGAGAGCGCGTTAAGCTGCATTTACAACCCGGTCAACCAACGAAAAGCCTGGCACGTGGTCTCCGTGCCGTAGATGCACGTCAAATGTAACCTCAGCACCCTCTCTGGCCATCCATCTTCTCCCCATTCCTCTTCTCTTTACGCGACCCAAGGGCTCAGCCTGTCTCTTTGTTAGCTGGCTCATCAGCCGCCAGACCCGCAATCCTTCACCCCGCCATCGACGCAAGGAAAACACGCGTTTGCGTGACAGTCAGCACCGCGTCGCATCACCACCACACCACGACGACTATTTTCAGCAATCGCATTCTCTCGCCGGTCACCCCATCTTCCGTCTGTTGTTTTGTTGTGGTAGCAACTGGCATTCTTGCGGTTCATTGAACTTCCGGCCATCAATCCGCGTCGCCCTCGTGTAGGTACAGAGAATAAACAAATTGGGAAGAGATCCGCGTCGACTGCCCACCATGTCAGCTCAAACACCCAATGCCAGCAGTGTGTCACAGAAGCAGCAGCAGCAGGAGCCGAAGCAGCAGCAGCAGGAGCCGAAGCAGCAGCAGCAGGAGCCGAAGCAGCAGCAGCAGCAGGAGCAGAACCAGCAGAACCAGCCTCATCAAAGCATGCGGCCCGTCGTCTTCATCCCCTTGTACATCTACCCCTTCCAGACGGCCTGGGAGCCTCTGGTCCGGTCAGCCATCGCGCACCCGTCGCTGACCTTCGTGACCGTCGTCAACCCCAACAACGGTCCAGGCCCCGACCCGCGGCCCGACGCCAACTACGTCGCCGCGCTGCACCAGCTCGGCGCGTTGCCCAATGTGCAGCTGCTGGGCTACGTGCACGTGAGCTACTGCACGCGCAACCAGTCGGACGTCGAGCGGGACATGGACGTGTACCGTGCGTGGAACGACGACCTCGTCGAGGGGGGCGCTGCCACGGACGAGCAGGCCGAAGAGGAGACCAAAGGGGAGACCAGAGAGGAGACCAAAGGGGAGACCAGAGAGGCCAGCGGCAGCCTGCGCGTCGACGGCATCTTCTTTGACGAGACGCCCTGGGACCCGAGACACCAGGGCTACATGGCGCGGCTGACGCGGTACGCGCGCAACGCCTGGGCGCAGCCGGCACCGGGCGGCGCCCCCGGGCGCGACGCCGTGCTGGCGCTCAACCCGGGCGTCGTCGTCGAGCCGCGCTGGTACGAGAACGTCGACTATGTCGTCGTCTTTGAGCAGTCGGCCCAGCACTGGCACAACTACTTTGTCGGCAAGGGCCTGCCGCAGATCCCGCACGCGCTGCGGCCCAAGTCGGTGGCCATTGTGCACACGGTCAACAGCAGCAGCAGCAGCAGCAGCCCCAGGGCCTACGGCAACATTCACAACGAGGCGGACGAGGCTTCCGCGCTGACGAAGCACATATGCTACCTCGGCCTCGGTGGCGCGTATCTGACGGATGAGGTCGATGGCGGGTACACGAGATGGCCCGCCATGTGGGCGGCCCAGCTCGAGATGCTGGCCAGAGCCAATGGCGGTGGAAGCAGCAGCAGAAAGAACAGTACGAAGTGGAGCAAAGGCACTGCGCACCGGCAGTACCGGCCGCCGTCGCTGCCGTTGTCGTCGTCGTCGTCGCAGTAGCAGGCCCCCCCCTTCATCCGTCGGGGGTTATTGATGACACCATGGCCCCCGCCGCGACCAGGTTCAGGGGCCTGCCGTCAGCTTCGCTGAGCGCCGACGGGCATTGGTCGGGATTTTTGGTGCGTCTTGGTGGAGGCCACAGCAGCAGGCTTCGCAGGAGCAGGCTTCACCGCAGCAGGCTTGACCGCAGCAGGCTTCAACCCCGATGCCATGCTCGATGCGATGCCATGCTCGATGCACCTACGACATCGGAGGATGTCGACCAAGCCGGGCTGGCGGAGCCGAAGCGGTGGACATTGGATCACGGTCGATCATTTCGTTTTAGCGTCCCGTGCGTTTCTTCTCGATCCCACTGCAACGCCTGGTCCCCTGATTTTCTTGGCTCGATCGGTGGGGGATCCCTGCGGTGCCGTGTCCACTCACTTGGCATTGAAGCGGGCATCGAAGCGCAGGGCGAGGGCGAGGGCCGACCGCAACGGCGAGAAGGCTGGTGGGCTTCAGGTGAGCAGGGGATGGGGGGCCCTGGTGTGGATGTCTGGGTCCGAGGTTAAGTCTGAGCCTAAGCCTAAGTCTGAGCCTAAGCCCACGTCCCGCAAGGTGAGGCCTGCTTGAGGCGCTTGAGGCCTGCTTGGTGGATTTTCTTCGACGACCGTTGAGCAGGGAAGCGCACTGGTCGGAGAGACGGCGCTGGCCGGAGAGACGGATAGCGGTGGAGCGTGAATAGAATGAACTTGCTTTTTCATGCTCTTCTTCCTTGCCCAGCGACGTATTGACGCTGGACCATGTGCTGGGGGCGGTGGTCAGAGAGCCCCTGAACCTGGACGTGGCAGTGCTTGTGCATTCGGGGGGTGAAGTGGAATACGGCCGGGTGTCTTGTGCCCAGAGCCGATGAAGACCCCCTTTGAGCCCCCCAGTTAACCCCCATCACTTGCCCCCATGCCCCCAAGCCAACCTGCAATCCACTCTCGCCTGCAGACCCCCATCCCAGAACCAAGACACCCCCCCGGCTGTCGCAAGCCAAGGCCCAATAAGCTTGTGGTTCCTTCCTTTCTGCCCCTGTGCCTCGTGTTTCTCGCCTATTTGCGTCGTCCGTGGGCTCTCTCTCTGTCATGATGCAGGAGTAATCCGATGTTTGTCCAGACCGTTGTTTGGACCAGGGGCTCCGATGTCGAAACATCCAAGGCCCAAGCAAGGCATGAGGCATGAGGCATGAGGGGGGGTTCGCACGTCACTCCTCAGCGCTAGACTTCGTATCTGCGGACACGTTCCCCCTCACCTCAATTTTTTGTTTCTTCTTTTATCCAGATTGCCTGGCCTATTGTCTGGTTTGACGGCTTCGTCATGATGTGATTTGACTGCTTCGTTAGGATGTGAAAACTCTGCCACCCCTTGATGCCGGTTGACGTTGTGCAGGTTGACATGGCTGGACGGGGCTGTATTACTCGACTTTCTAGGGTTGTGATCGTCTGCTCCACATGAGCGTCGTCCACAGCGCATCGTGAACAAGGTGCCTACACGGCGCCGCCTTAGCCATGACTGCCTCGTGTTGAATCGCGCGACACTGACTACGTGCGTACGCATCGACAGGTAGGCAGCCTCCTTGTCCAATCGGCGTTGAGCGAATTGTCGGCCCCTTCGGCGTCTCTCTCTCTTCTTCTTCTTCTTCTTCTGCCTCGCTGGCGTCCTTGGGGCCGCCCGCCAGACTATTTCAAGATCAGATGCAGTAGCGTGCGCCTTGTTGGGCCCGGCCCGGACGAGTCAGATGCCGAGCGCGAGGGCCGCGGCCGGATTCAGGGGGACAGGGGCATTGTTCGCAGGGCTCTTCGGGATGCTGTGGGGCCGATCCGAAAAGATGGAGAACAGACAAAGGATACGAACAAAGGAGCGCAGATTGCCTTGCTGGCGCCTCTGGCGTCTCTGGCGTGGTCGGGGACTTTTTTTTTTTCTTCATTTTTTTTTGGTGGCGGAACAAGCCATGGTGTGAGCTTTGTGGTACGATGGAGGCGTCATGGAGGCATGGAGTCATGAAAGTTTGGAAGGAAGATGGAAGATGGAATTAAGTCATCAATTAGTTGTCCTTTTCTGTAGACATGCCGGTATTTTGCGGCCCGTTCGTCATTACCACATTATAACTTTCTGTGTGTGTGTGTGTCCCCCCTTTTTTGCTCGCCAACGAGAGAGACAAAGGAAATGGAACAAACCCAAAGAGACAATGAAAAATAGCCCGAAATCAAAAGGGAAGGAAAAATGCTACCCCATAAACGCCCCGAGCCAGGTCCTGTACGCAACCCTTTGCTCGTCCCAAAAAAAGCGCCCGTCCACAAAGAGCCCGTCCACAAAGAGCCCGTCCACAAAGAGCCCGTCCAAAAAGAGCCCGGACACCAGAGCCGAAGATGCCGGCGCAGCCGTTGATTACCTGAAATCCAAACAAACCCACTGTCTGTGCCAAGTCTAGTCTAACCGTTTTGCGGCAAAAGCAAAGAGCCCGAGGGCCGTGCGCTTGTGCATCATGCCAACCCAACGGAA